ATGAGTTTTGTGGAGATTTTAGAAATTTCACTGATTGAAACCGTCCAGTGCTTCCAAGTTTTCCATGGTGGTCTAGCTTCAATTGACTCATGATGTCAATCTGTGAAATTTCTAAAATCTCCATAAACCCCTTCTGATTATTGAAATCTATCAATAAAGTAACTTTTAAAACCTCATGAATAATAATCACATGGAACTTCAAGATATAAATCCTCTACTTCATCAGCTTAAATGTTACCATTGAGCTTAAAGTGGTAAACAAATAAATCTCCAATCAAACTTAATAAACTACAATGATCAATGATTGTTTAATCATAAATACTGATTAGATACTATCGAAACATTTCAGAACCTAATTCACTATCTGATAATTCATCAATAACTAATCATTCTTTGATAGATTCCTACAGATTTCTATCAAATTTCTAATATCAAATAAATAATTCAATTTCAAAGTCTTCATGCTAATTTATTCAATACAAATTCAATGAGTAATTACTATTTCTAATAGCTTAATAACAATAATAATAATAATCAGTTTGACTGATAATGCTAAAATGATTTTGATCATTATCATTTAATAAAATCAATTAATTTGGATTAATTAATTACTCTGAATCAATCATCATAACATTAGATTAAATAATAATCAATCTTCACATGAATAGCACAACACCTTTTATAAATGAAGTGATTGAATGAGAAAAAAATTATTTAATTAATATTAGATTTACTTGTCACTTTTATCTTAGATTAGATTTTTAATTATTTATTAAGTCTATTTTAAGTCATCACCATTATTATTATTATCATCGCTATTATTACTATTATCATCAATACCATTATTATTATCATTACTATTATTGTTACCATTACCATTATTATTATCATTACTATTATTGTTACCATTACCATTATTATTATCATTACTATTATTATTACCATTACCATTATTATTATCATTACTATTATTGTTACCATTACCATTATTATTATCATTACTATTATTGTTACCATTACCATTATTATTATCATTACAATTATTGTTACCATTACCATCATTGTTATCATTACTATTATTATTATTATTGTTATTATTATTTCATAATTGAATACTACTTTATTAAATAATGCCAAATTATTTAGTTATTTATTTGAAATAAAATAAAATTAGGACATATCAATTTGTATAGAATCTAAATAACAATAATTATGATGATGATTATTAATAATTCAATGACTGAGGCTCTAAATCACTGTATATTCTAGGTCATTTATTAAAGTGATATGATCATTTCAATTTAAATAAGTTGAAATAATATTTACATAACATTTTTTGTTTTGAAGAAATTTCCGGTTGATAAGGAAAGATCGATAGTGGTTTGTAATGGAATCCAGGATGCGTGTTTCTTCTTATCTGGAACTTGTCAACTGGATGCACCTGCATAACAGATATTGATGTTCACTTTGAGACTCGAACCAAGTACCATTCGTTTCAAATGTCATTGTATTATTCACCTAGCTACTGAATCCTGATAGCCATTGTTAGGTATGCTGAGGAATATACCAATCATTATCATGTTAAGTCTAGTGATGTCCTTGGACTCTAAATGGGCATTCCCTATTGGCCATTATTTATTTCACTCGTTAAATATTGTACAGATGTTGTTTTCTATTTTTATGGTACGATGTGGTCTGTTTGGTTGGTATATAAACAATGTTTGAAATATAACGATTCATAACTCAGAGGCTGTGACTTGCGTTCTAGACTCAACTGGCTGGGCTAGACAGGGAAGCGGGACCAATCGGGACTCTAGGTCGTCCTTACGTGTTTTACGTGTCACTGATTCGATCGATAAATATGCTGCGCATCTAACCGTGCAAGCTACACGTTACAACAGCCATTTGCTCGTGTAATGGAGCGAAGTTTAAATTCACTTGGTATTGTTTACTTGGATCTTTCCATTAATGTTTAGAACTGCATATGTGCACACTGCGCGTGTTGCCTCTATATTACCTTAATTCACAAGCATTATATGCAAAGATGGATAGTGGATAGCAGTAGAATCCAGGACGTGTGTTTCGTTCTATTTAAAGTAAACATTAACAAGTGAATTTCTGATTTAGTTTTGAAAATTTGAATTTCATTAGAAATGATAAATAACATGATGCTACTCATAATGTGATTGCTAACCCGTTTATATATATATTTATGGCACTTGGGTGATAAAGGAGATTCATAACAAGGTTGAATGTATTTGGTGAGACTGTATTCTCTGAGCCATATGGTCAAATTGAGATTTGATTATCATTTTAAACAATATTCACGTTCACTTCACAACGACTCTATGATTTAGGTATTACTGATGATGCTATTCAAAGAGACAACTAGACTTTTACTTGTTTGACAATACTATTTAGATTTTACAATAAATATAGTCAATTAAGTAATCATATGGTGTCTAGAAACACTTTAAATGGGTAATTGTTGTCCCTTAGACGTATAGATGTCAGTTCACAAAATGAAAACCAGATGTTCATTTCTTGTACATTTCTGTGGACTTACCAATTTAGCTAGTTTTATTGAGTTATTTTCATTGAATATACGGTTTAGCATGTTCATTATTTCATTACTAATCATCATTCTTCATGATAAAACAAAAGACAAGAAAAATGATGTAAACGTAGCCGATTAAAGTTATCCATAGAATGTCATTCAACATATTTGATCATTGGAGTGTTCGTCTAACGCATACAGAAGAAGCTACATAAATAAGCGTAATCTATGTAGAAATTGAACAGTCCTACTACCTAACGGTTGCCTAATTAGTGATTTCAAAAATCTCTTTGTAGTACATAAGATTAGTTGATTTATTAATAACGAACTAATACGGCTCATAAGGCAGCAATAAACAACAGCCGAACACGAGCAGAGAAAGTCCAAGCACAAGCTGAATACATAGAAGCAAACAAACAAGTGAAGAGGAGCATTAGAGCCGACAAGAAGAAATACGTGGAAGAACTAGCAACGACGGCAGAAAAAGCTGCTAGAGAAGGAAACATGAAACAGCTTTATGATACAACGAAGAAACTATCAGGGAAATACAGTAAACCAGAGAGGCCGGTCAAAGACAAAGAAGGCAAGCCAATCACCGAAATTCAACAACAACGTAACAGATGGGTAGAATACTTCGAGGAACTCCTGAATAGGCCGGCTCCAATGAATCCACCGGACATCGTAGCAGCACACACAGATCTTCCTATAGATGTCAATCCACCAACTACGGAAGAAATTAGAATGGCCGTCAGACAAATCAAGAACGGGAAAGCAGCAGGACCCGACAACATACCAGCTGAAGCACTGAAATCAGACATCGAAACAACCACAAGCATGCTTTATCTTCTATTCAAAAAGATTTGGGAGGAGGAACAAGTGCCAATGGACTGGAAAGAAGGACACCTCGTCAAGATTCCAAAGAAAGGAGATCTGAGCAAATGTGAAAACTACAGAGGCATAACACTACTGTCAATACCAGGGAAAGTCTTCAACAGATTGTTGCTGAACCGGATGAAGGATGCAGTAGACGCCCAACTTCGAGATCAACAAGCTGGATTCCGTAAGCATCGGTCGTGCACAGACCAAATTGCAACACTACGAATCATCGTCGAACAATCAGTTGAGTGGAACTCATCACTATACATCAACTTCATTGATTATGAAAAGGCATTCGACAGTGTAGACAGGAGGACGTTATGGAAACTTCTTCGACACTACGGAATTCCTGAGAAGATTGTCAATATAATCCGGAACTCATACGACGGACTACAGTGCAAAGTAGTGCATGGAGGACAGCTGACAGATGCATTCCAAGTAAGGACTGGAGTCAGACAAGGCTGTTTACTCTATCCCTTCCTCTTTCTTCTGGTGGTCGACTGGATTATGAAGACCTCAACATCTGAAGGAAAACACGGAATACAATGGACAGCTCAGAATCAATTAGACGATTTGGACTTCGCAGATGACCTAGCCCTCCTATCACGTACACACGAACAGATGCAGATGAAGACAGCCAGTGTAGCAGCAGTCTCTGCATCAGTAGGCCTCAGCATACACAAAGGGAAAACTAAGGTCCTCGAATTCAAAGCGGAGAACAGCAATACAATCACTCTTGATGGCGAAACTCTGGAAGATGTAGAATCCTTCACATACCTGGGAAGTATCATCGATGAACAAGGTGTTTCAGATGCAGACGTAAAGGCAAGGATTGGCAAAGTAAGGGCCGCATTCCTACAATTGCAGAACATATGGAACTCAAAACAACTTTCAACCAATATCAAAGTGAGAATCTTCAATACAAACGTCAAGGCAGTTCTACTGTACGGAGCTGAAACTTGGAGAACTACAACAACCACCATCAAGAAGGTACAAGTATTCATAAATAGCTGTCTACGCAAGATACTGTGGTGGTCGGTATTTGATATAATCCTTAAACTTCGTATAATGTTCGTCGCGATAACCGTTCTATATAACGTACCAACGGTATATTAATCAGAAGGCAAATACGAAGTGTCGATTACGTTTATTGCGAAACCACACACATATATCCAAATGTACAGATGTGTTAAACAAGCATAGAAGAGTTGTGCCGAAAGGCAAGCAAGCGAACGAGAGCCAGAGCAAGAGCGTGACGAGACCGTGCGAGCGAGTGAGCGATCGTGTGTTCAATATGAATAACATGGACATATATATACCGTGTGAAATGAATGAGTAATCTAATCGAATAAGCGGTTAGTAGTAAGATTAGCAGAGTGAATAAATGCGTAGGCAGTAATCAATATTCAAGCATACGTATTTCATACAAGCGCAAAATAATAATAAGGATACAATAAATTGTTATAGCGCGGATGGCTTTGTCCGCTAAATAAGTTAACAAAAAGGGCTTAACTGGGTTACATGAAAATAAACCCATTAGCACGTGAGTCGCTATAATAGCTCCCCCCTGCAAACAAAGATATATGGAAAATGTCTGTGTTTGCATAAAAAAATAGTAGACTGAATAGGGTAGAAAAATGGCTTATGCAAAATTAAGATGAAGTTGGTGTGTGTTGTACATTCGGTTTGCGCCCGTCCGTGAGGTTACATAAAATAATAGCAAGCAATAGAAGTAATGTGGTATTGTCTTTACATTTTAAACAAAAATTATACGCATAAGTGTAAGGGTACATAAGATACGTTGAGTTTTATAACGTATAACATGAGCTTAATAATGCATGTGTATACGATGAGGTAGAAGTTATAATTAATATTCCAAATAGTAGATTATTATTAATAGAAAATTGTAGCGACATAATGTTGGGGCCATCTTACTCTACGGCCGGATCTTGTTGTTATCGGAGTCTTGTCTTTTTGTTGCGTTAACGTTGTTGATTTTTGGGACTCGTGTTTCGCTGGTATGACCATCTTAGATGAGTCTGTACTTGTTGATTGAATATCGCTATCGATAAAAGCTGGCTTTACTCGATCGATGCTAATTACATCTGTCTTCCCAGCTTTTTCTATGGTAACCGTTTTATTTGTCCTCTCTATCACTTTAAATGGTCCATCGTAACTCGGTTGAAGAGGTGGTTGTACTTTATCTCTTCTGATGAATACGTGAGAGCTGTTATGTAGTTCCTGTGGTATGAATACCCGTCGTTGTTGTGGTCTGGGAGGTGTTATTTTTAAATCGCTCATGTGCTTTCTCAGGCGTTGCACATAGCCGGTTACATCAGTCGGGACATTTTTACTTGAAGTGAAAAATTCTCCGGGTAATCGTAGAGTAGTTCCGTAAACTAACTCGGCTGGACAACATCCCATGTCTTGTTTAATTGTTGTTCTTAGAGCTAACATTACTAGGGGAAGTTTATTAGACCAATCGTTGTTAACGATGACGGCTGTAAGGGACGCTTTTAATTGCCTATGTAGGCGTTCAACCATTCCGTTTGCCATTGGATGGTACGACGTCGTTCGGATTCGTTTAATACCGAGGAGTTCAGTAAGCTGCTGAAAGAGTCGACTTTCGAATTGTGCTCCTCTATCAGTTGTGATAATCGTTGGTACACCGTAGTAAGAAATCCAATTTTCAACTAGGGTTTTAGCTACCGTTTCAGCTGAGGTGTCTTTTATCGGCACTGCTACCGGCCATCGTGTAAACCTATCGATGCATGTAAAGATATAGTTGTATCCATTTGAAACGGGCAGTGGTCCTACAATATCGATGTGTATATGTTCAAATCTAGTGTCTGGGTGCGAAAACGGACCTACTGCAGAGCTAGTATGACGATGTACCTTCACTTTTTGGCACTTTATGCATGCTTGTGTCCAATTACGTACATCGTGATTCATGTTTGTCCATACGAATCGTTCACTAATCAGCTTTATCGTGGCTTTTATTCCTGGGTGCGACATGTTGTGCATGCTTTCGAATATTTTGTGTCGCAACGTTTTCGGGATAAATGGTCGCGGTCGGCCTGTTGATGTATCGCAAATTACTTTCGTGTTACCAAACCGCACCTCTTCGAGTACTAATGATGTTGAACCACCGGATCTGAGTTTATTTAGCTCGATGTCTCTCTCCTGCAACTTTGCTAGACCGTTATAATCAATTCCACTTGCCATAAGTGTGCTTATCGTTGCTCGTGACAATGCGTCGGCCACATCGTTTTCTTGTCCTTTAACGTACTGTATGTCGGACGTGAACTGTGAAATGAACTCTAGTTGTCGGATCTCTCTCGGGGAATAATTGTCTTGCTTTGCGCTTAATGCTTTCGTTAGCGGTTTGTGGTCTGTATAGACGGTAAAACTTATGCCTTCGACCATATGACGGAAGTGTTTTATTGCTAAGTAGATTGCTAATAATTCTCGTCCAAACGTACTATATCTCGTTTGGGTAGGATTTAATCTTTTCGAGAAAAATGAAAGTGGCTCCCATACACCGTTTACTAACTGCTGCAAAACGGCTCCTACTGCTAAGTTCGATGCGTCTGTCATTACTGCTAATGGTGCTTCGCTCTTTTGTCGTACCAACATCATCTTCTCATTTAGCGCTCGCTTAGCGTTCTCGAAAGCCTGTATAGCGTCCGCTGAAAGACGGAATGTTCGAGTATGTCCTCGCAAGGCGTCCGTCAATGGCTGTAATATTGCTGCGCAGTTTGGGATAAATCGTCTATAATAGTTTATTAGCCCCAAGAATCTTCGTAATTTTCTTTGTGAATCGGGCAACGGATAATTACGAATAGCAGCAATTTCTGTCGGAACTGGCATGATACCATGTGAATTTATCATATGACCTAGGAATTGCAATGATTCCTTTCCAAATTCACACTTTTCCACGTTAATAGTGACACCATGTTCTTGAAGTCTCGTAAACAACTGTCGTGGATGTTGTAGATGTTCTTCCCTGGTAGAGCTAGCTACTAGTATATCATCGATATATGCGTGAACTCCTGTCAAACCCCTGACGACCTGATCGATGAATCTTTGGAAGGTTTGGGCTGCATTAGTTAATCCGAAGGGCATTCGCAAAAACTCGAATAACCCAAATGGAGTAATTATAGCCGTTTTAGATATATCTTCTGTCGCTACGGGAATATGGTAATAAGCTCGAACGAGATCGATTTTCGAAAATATCGTGGCACCTTCCATATTGATAGTAATGTCGTGGATATGTGGTATCGGATATCTGTCCGCTATCGTTTGCTTGTTAAGGGCTCTATAGTCTCCACATGGCCTGATTTCCCCATTCTTCTTCGAAACCATATGCAATGGGGACGCCCAGGGACTATTAGAAGGTCTTATGATACCAAGCTTCGTCAACTTTTCGAACTCTCGTTTCGCGACATTCAACCTTTTCGGGTCTAGCCTTCGTGGTCTTGATTTAGTCGGTGGACATTTCGTTATAATATGGTGCTGTACCGTATGTTTAAGATCTCTGTTATCGTATGATACCTTCGTCAGATCGGCATATTCGTTTAGAAGCGATCTATATGGTTCGCTTTTGTCTTTTGACACTACTAAATTCATGGATGCGTGATCAGTCGTCACTCCTCTTATCACTACTGAATGGTCGCCGTTCACGAGCCGGTTTCGTCGGGTATCCACTAGTAAGTCAAAATTCTTTAAGAAATCAATACCAATTATAGGTACGGATACATCTGCGATAATGAATTCCCAGCGGAATGAGGTAGTACGACCGAAATTCAAGGTTACTTTTCGCTTGCCATATGTTTTTATATCGGATTTATTTGCTGCCTTAAGCGTTAGCGCTGTATCGATATTTCGTGTTTCGTTGCTTACTGGAGGCACGACGCTTACTTCTGCTCCCGTATCCACTAAGAATTGAGCGCCTGTTACTCTATCCTGAACGTAAAATAAACGACTGTTTCTAGGAGCTGTTGTAGTTGTTGCGGCGGTTATCGACAATCGGTGTGTTCGTTTGAATTTACATGGTGATATACAGTTTCGAGCTTTATCGCCGAAAGTTTGATGGTACCAACATATTGTAGGAGCTGAGCGTCTCCTAGAACGTGATCGACTTCTTTCCCTCGATCTACTTCGTGACCATCCTCTTTGCGTATCGCTCTGATTTAGTTTCATCAGCTTGTGGCATAAAACATTAATCTGCTTTTGTAATGCATCGATTCGTCCATCTATTGTGGTACTATGCCCGTGCGGACTCGTTTGTTTCATTCTTTCATAAATCCTATCGGCTATTTTAGCAATGTTGTCTATATCGACATCGTTGTCCTCAACCGCAAGGATCTGCTGCACGTTCGCTGGGAGTCGTCGTAACCACAACTGATAAAATATGTTTTTATCTACTTTTCTGTCTCCGATTACGCTTCTCATATAGTTTTTTAACTGCGATGGAGTCCTATCTCCTATCTGCACTTGACTGAGAAGCTGTTCGATGGCTTGCCGGTCGCTTAATGAGACGGCTTTAATCACTGCCTGTTTTAATGCGTCGTATGGCTTTTCTATGTCTGGCTTGATTAAAATCTCTCGTACATTATCTGCTACTTCATCTGGAAGTAGCGAGCTCGCGTGGCCAAATTTATCTCGCTGTGTATGAACACGATTAGCTACAAAGTAATGTTCAAGTCTGGTAAACCAAAGTTGAGGATCTGTGACCTTAAAAGGAGGAATAGTTACATTAATGGACCTCACGGACGGCGTTTGGGAAAGTTCTATTGTATCGTTGCTTAAAGACATATTCATAAAGATAAAAAAATTACACAAATATAATGCGAATGTCACCGAGAAAAGTGAGTCGATAAAAACAATGATAAAAACAAATGGTACAATTTATAACAAAGAACGGACTTACTAAATTGCACCAAAATATCAATTGTTTGTAAAAATATCGCTGTTTACTATGAATATTATCGTTATGTTCAATAATGTTCGTGAGATAATGTACGTATAATTAAAATAATGAGATAATAAATCCACAGTTATAATTATAATCCAAATGATGGTTACAGTTGTAATCGAGTACGTTGGATTTTAGGAATTGGATTACGTCGTTCAAGATTGTTTCGTGTTCGCGCGTCGGGATCGCCAATTATGTGGTGGTCGGTATTTGATATAATCCTTAAACTTCGTATAATGTTCGTCGCGATAACCGTTCTATATAACGTACCAACGGTATATTAATCAGAAGGCAAATACGAAGTGTCGATTACGTTTATTGCGAAACCACACACATATATCCAAATGTACAGATGTGTTAAACAAGCATAGAAGAGTTGTGCCGAAAGGCAAGCAAGCGAACGAGAGCCAGAGCAAGAGCGTGACGAGACCGTGCGAGCGAGTGAGCGATCGTGTGTTCAATATGAATAACATGGACATATATATACCGTGTGAAATGAATGAGTAATCTAATCGAATAAGCGGTTAGTAGTAAGATTAGCAGAGTGAATAAATGCGTAGGCAGTAATCAATATTCAAGCATACGTATTTCATACAAGCGCAAAATAATAATAAGGATACAATAAATTGTTATAGCGCGGATGGCTTTGTCCGCTAAATAAGTTAACAAAAAGGGCTTAACTGGGTTACATGAAAATAAACCCATTAGCACGTGAGTCGCTATAATACTCAACATCCATTGACCGGATACCATGAGCAACAGCCTTCTGTGGGAGAGAACAAACCAGCTTCCAGCTGAAGAAGAAATTAGGAAAAGACGATGGAAATGGATAGGACATACATTACGCAAATCGTCAAACTGCATCACGAGGCAAGCCCTAACTTGGAATCCTGAAGGGAAGCGAAAAAGAGGAAGGCCAAAGAACACATTGCGTCGGATAATAGAAGCAGATATGAAAACCATGAATTACAACTGGACGGAGCTAGAAAGGATTGCCCAGGACAGGGTTGAATGGAGAACGCTGGTGAGCGGCCTATGCTCCTTCATGAGGAGTAACAGGCGTAAGTAAGTAAGTAATACGGCTCATATTAATTCAAACTTGATTGTCAAAGAAATCGTGTTAATAGTAATTCACTGAATTAAAGACTTTACTGATGTATACATATGCCTCATCACACTGAAGGAATGACAATAATTGTGCATTGACAACATGGGATTTCGTTTAGGTTTTTAAAACAGCACTCATAGTTTAGTAAGAAATAAGTCTTTGCTCGTGTTTATGAATTCTTTTATCAAAGGAAATTTTTTTCCAGTGTAAATAACTATCGAATCTCAGTAAATTCGTCAGCCTCATTAAAGCATTGTACATGTTTATGAACTGGGTTTATTCACAGCTTTACCAGCATTCTGTGTGTTGTATCACGTATCTTTCCACTCATCTATTGCACGAATATTGAGTGTCACAGTGAAAATTCCACTAAATATACCTTTTCAAGCATCTTGACTTATCTTCAACTGTCTGTTATGAACGTGTCGGTGTAGTATACCCCATCATATGGAACAAAAAACATACAAACACAATAAAAATAAGAGTTCACAACAAAACCTTAAATAAAAATCACAATGTAGCTTTCACATAGCGAATATATGAGAAACGATAGAAAATGTTGAATATAACACACTTAATAAACAACAAAAATGTTGTGGATAACCTCAACTTATTTATGATTTGTAATTAAATCTTCAATTTATTCTGATTATGGAATATCCACGTTGTTATAACGCTAGGTTTTTCTTCGTCTAATGTTATAACGGTTGGGTTTCCACATTTCCACGTATGGGACGTTAACTTACCTTAGACGAATATCTACACTAGATTCCCTCCCACTGTCTATTCTACAGGACGTCAACACAACACAGATCAAGAATATGTGATAAGCCTGACCACAACGTAAATATATTTCCACACCAAAAACCCGACACAATCCAACAACAATGAACGATCAATAATAATTATTATAAGGATATGGGGAATATATAACTCATCTGAAGCCTGTCAGACTGACTAAGCAGACAACCAATCATTATCATTCTTACCCACAAATCACAAGTTCATGATAAGATGTGCACAAATTCAGTAGTATAGTTGTATCTCTAATGGGTGATGAATTTACTTCTTGAACTTCAAGAAATGACAAAAATATAACATACAATATAGTATACTATTGTTTTTATTGGAAAAAATGTACACTGTAAATGATGAGCTCAACCCAAAAGCCAATGTACAAACTCTAGAAAAGCCAATCCTGAACAAGTTAAATAAGAATTTTCTAACTGAACATTAATTTGTTTATGTTGACTGTAATGAAATGAGATAAATCGAAAAAAGAAATCGAAATTAATCAGTTTCAATCAAGTTCTATGGATAAAAGTTATAAAAAAAATAATGAATGAACTCATATGTTTCTTTTTTTGTAAATATGGTTGATTCCATTAAAATAGAAACCAATTTAAGAAAACACTGAAGACCGAAGTGAAAAAAACTTCATTCCATAGCAGACGTTTCAATTCAGACTTCTGTTTTCTTTAAAAAAAGATCGTCGTGGTTTCCTATTTGCTACTACGATCGTTGATTTTTATTTATCAAATGTTTAAAATTTTTTTGGCGAGACTAATTTATGGACGAACCAATCAGAAGCGGTTTAGAGATTTCAAGGTTACGGCGCCAAATTCAGTACTTAATGCTAACGTACGATCGGTTCACAGGGAATTTCGTACAAAATGTGATAATTGAGCGGCTATAACAAATAAAATGGTGACACTACAATATGTGGACGAATCAATGAGGTATAAGATAATAGATCTTGGATATTAACGCGAACGCCTTTCATCCATTTGGTTAAATAAATTTCTGGCATGATAGCTGATGTCAGTTCGTGATGAGAACCCCATATACAATTCCCAACTGGGGTAAATTACGACAATTATTGCGAACTGGATAATAAAAGCACCAGTAACACTGGCTGCAACTAGGTACTACAATATATACGGATGTTTGGAGAGCGTACAGACTCCGACATAGGCTTGATTATGTCCATCATGTCGTTATCCACAAGTAGCATTTTGTGCAATCAACAACCGTAGTGTACATAAACAATTTTGGAGCTATGTGGTCGAGGCTGATATAGTTTTTGAGACTTTATCATGACTCCAGATGTCGACTATTCTGTAGTCGTATGGATGATTTCCTCTACTGCATGCATTACGATTTTAGAACCTCTGAACCTCTTTCTAACCTTGACAAGTTTTTGAACC